TTTTGAAAGATTATTTAACATTAACATTTTATAGAACATAAACTCAATTCAAGAGCAGAGGAAAAGATAGTGTTTTCAACAAATGGCACTAGAACACCTGGTATCCATATGTAAAAAATTAACCTCAACCCTTTATTTCCATACATAAACATAATTTGAAAGGATCTATGAACCTAAATATGAAAGACAAATTATAAAACTTTAAGAAGAAATTATAAGGGAAAATGTTTATAAATTTAGGGTAGACAAGAATTTCCTAGGATATAAAAAACATGATGTATAAAAGAAAAAAATTGATAAATGAGATTCCATCAAAATTTAGAACTGTAAATGACATCATTAAAATTAAAAGTAATCCTTAAACAGACCATATTTAAAATGCATATAACCAATGACCACAATATATAAAGAACTCTTACAGCTCATTAATAGGCAACTCAATTAAAAAGTAGACACAAGAAGATGATAAATAGCCAGTACAGCACAAGGAAAGGTATGCAACACTAGAATCAGAAAAATACTAATCAGTACAATAACAAGATTGAATTACACACTCATTAGGGAGATGAGGTTCATGACTTTTTCTTTTTGTTGGATTCTCCCCCTTTACATTTAATTTCTTGTCACACCTGATGGATTCATTCTACTGTGCTTCCTGGGGTTGTGATCCTCATTGCCTGTTCCTAGGATATTATCTAAAAATTTTTGGAGTGCTGGTTTGATATTGATGAAGTTGCTAAGGTGCTCTTTGTCATAAAAGTATCTTATTTCTCCATCCATTTTGAAAGTTAGTTTTGCAGGGTACATCAATCTGGGTTGGAGGCTGCTTTCCTTTAGGGCTTGCAGTATGTCACTCCAAGCTCTTCTTGCCTTGTGGGTTTGTTTTGAGAAGTCTGCTGTGATTCTGATGGGCTTTCCTTTGTATGTGATTCGTTTCTTTTCTCTAACTGCTTGTAGAACTTTGTTCTTCTGTTGGGTTTCTGGAATCTTAACAGTTATATGCTTATGTGTACTTTTTTTTTAATCAAGGCTATTTGGAGTACTATATGCCTAACTTATCTGTATGTCAAGTTCTTTCCCCTGCTTGGGAAGTTTTCTGCCATTACTTCGGTGAACAGTTTTTTTTATGTCATCTGCACTCTCCTGTTTCTTTATTGACTCCAATTAGTCTTATGTTATTCTTCTTTGCATCATCTAGCAGCTGCTGGATTGATTTCTCGTGGTCCCTTACAATTTTGAAGCAAATTTTCCTGTTCACTAATTGCAATCTTATCTTCTATATCAGAAATGCTGTCCTCACATTGGCTCATTCTTCTGTGTAGACTTTCAATGGAGTTTTTAATCTCCTGGAAATCTGTTTGTATCAGTTTTATAGATTCCATTTGTTTCCTATATTGGGATTCCATCATGTTCCTCAGCTCTATTTTTTTAAATCTGTATCCTCTCTAGATTTATAAATCATGTCTTGTACTACGGGCACAATCTCTGCTGTTATTAGAGAAATTCTTTCTGATTTCATTTTGTCCAGATCCTCTTTCATTGCCTGTTCAGGGAGTCCAGGTGGTTGAGTATCAGAGTGTTCCATCTTATTTCCCTTTGGGGTTGCTGTAGGTGATCTGGAAGTCTGGTTTTGAGACTTGTTTATGTGTCTTCTCATTTTGATGGGGAGGGGGTGTGCTGCTCACCTCATCTGGGCTGGGAGCCCCTACCTCTGGGCTGGGAGTGGTGGAATGGTGGCCTGGAAGCCCTTCCTCTGGGCTGCCCACAGCACCTGGCAGCTCAGCCTCTCTCACCTCTCTCAACAGAGGTTTTGTTCATAAAATCTTTTCCTACACTAATGTCTTCAGGAGTTCTACTTAACCTCTGTTCCAGCCGATTTAGCTTTTCTTTTAATATTTAGATCTTTAATCCACTTCAATCTTAGTTTAGTGCATGGTGATAGGTTTGGGTCTAGTTTTAATCTTTGTTAGGTTGAAATCCAGTTTTTACAACACCATTTATTAAATAGGCTACCTTTCATTCAATGAGGGTGGTTGGCTCCTTTGTCAAAGATGAGGTGGCTGAGTATGTCTGGAGTTGTTTCTGCATCTTCTAATCTGTTCCACTGATCCT